AAAAAAAAAAAAAAATATGCTATGTTACATTAAAGGTTAAGATGAAAAAAAATATTTATCTAAAGTTGTTTGAGATAATAATTTATGCTTTAGAGTTGTTAGTACATCATTTTTGCGGGTAGATTACTGGCTAGCATGAACATCTTCTTTTTGAAGCTAAATATTTATAGTTTCTCAAGTATGTTTAGAGCTTCTTCGCACAAAACTTTTTGTATTTCCGTACTATCATGCATCCTCATAATTATTTCCTTTATCTTCTTGTCTAATTGTAGTAATGATTTCTTCTTTAGTTAAAACATATATGACTTATTGCTCATTTGGATGATTGAAAAAGACATTAATATCCATTCGATTAGTGTAATGAAGTTGTCGAATCTGATCACAAAATTCTACAATGACTCTTTGATTCTCCTCATCCATTTCATTTGTAACTTGCAATTCATCGACATCGGGGATCCTAATTTGGTAATGATTAAAACAATTGGAATAGTATGTAGCTTCACATTAATTTGCTGCATAATTTTGTAATGATTAAAACAATTGGCAATAATATGTGGCTTCACATCAATTTGCTACATAATTTTGTAATGATTTAAACAATTGGCAATAGTTTGTGGCTTCACTTCAATTTAACCATGCAGCAACTGTATTTACAATTCCATCAAGGACACTTATCTTTGTTGGTTTTAAGACATGATCTTCTATCCATTTTAAAAGTAGGCAATTGAAACGTTGAATTGAAATCTTAATAGTATTAAAATATCAATTGAAATCCCAATAATGTACTACTAAAATATGAATTATAAAAAAAAAAAAAAATTGTTATCACGGCTCTATTAAGTTATAACTTTCTCATAGTAATAAAATTAATTAATCTCACCATTATGACTATAGAAAGGTTTTACTATATATATATATATATATATATATAAAGGATCAAATAATAAATAATATTTTTTTAATTCAAAATTTATATTACTTTTACATATCTAATAAGTGAAGAACTAAGAAAAAAAAGTAAAATTACTATTTATTGAAAGTTTAATTATTCTCATAAAAATTATTCAAACAAATCATAAACAAAAATAAATAAAATTAAAAATTCAAAGCCTAACTAAAAGTCGCATGTATGACTTTAAGCATCTAATACCACAAGAATAAACATCTTCTTTCTTCGTCACAACTACAATAATGAAAGGGAAAAAATTAATTATGTTATTTTTATTATGTTATTAATTCATATAAAAAATAATGATGCTGTAAACCTCATTAATATCTTTATCTTCTGCATACTATGTGAATATCGTGATTGCGTTGTAAATAATATAACCTATTTATAACTTTAATATTAAATATTGTATAGTTATATATTTTTTGCGCGAAATGGGGTATGTCAAGGTAAAAGTTAGCATAACTATCGCCGTACCCAAAATATTCAAACCCAAATCTGTTTCTTTCCAAAATTTATATTATTCAAATCTAATCGATTAGGATTAGAGGTGGAAAAACAGCCCATTCAGCCCAGCCCGACCCGACCCGCAACGGGTTGCGCAACCCGCCTGGCAACATTGGCAGGTCGGGTTAGGCCCGTCAATGTTGGGGAATTGGTTGGCCCAACCCGGACCGCCAACCCTAACCCGTCGGGTTAAGCCGCGGGTTGGGCCGGGTTAACCTTCTTTCTGATTTATTTTATTTTATTTTGTTTTGTTTTATTTTGTTTAAGTTTAAATGTTTAATTAATAAAGATGTAAAATAACTCTAAAGCATAAACATTGTCCCAAACAATTTTAAATAAAATATTTATTTCATTTAAACCTTTAATTTACATAACATATATTTTTTTGTAATATACAGATAATTATTAC